GGGGGGGGGGGGGGGGGGGGGGGGGGGGGGGAAGGGGCGCATGGCAGGTGTAGTTAACCGGGGAAGAGGAGGCAGCATAACGCGGCAGAAAGTAGGATGGAGGGAAGGGGAAGAGGTGAAAGAACTTACGATGTCTGTTGGTGCCTGCTATTTCGCGGTGGTTTGGTGTTTCCCGCCTCATGTTCCGAAAAGAAAAAGGACCATTGCTCGATTTGTGGATGTGATGTACGACGATATCATCCTCGCGTGCCTCTCAGACACGTCACCTGGTGCGTGAGAGAGGGAGAGGGGGGGGCGCGATACCTATTTACTCGGTCACACGCGATTGCACGGTTTACGTGTAGTTGTGCATGTGTAAAATGATATCGTAATAAACAGCCACTTATTATTACTCGTTATACCTTATTATTATTATGTTTAGGTAATTATTATTATCATGTATATATGGTTTCATGTATGATGTCCGATATTACGTCGTCGTCGTTCTATAGGGGTGGGTGGGTGCTGGGTTCCAGTTTTCAACCGGAGGAGCCTGGCGTGCACTTCGGCACGTTTCAAGAAACAAGGAGAGAGACATGATTGTACATGTGCTAAGTCCGAAACGAGAAACTTTGTCCACGTTTTTTCTCCCAATTACGACTCCCAGGGGGAAAAAAAAAACACGTTTTTCATTTTCTTGGATTCGAGTTGGGTGCCTGGTAGGTGTCGGTGGGGATGGAATCAGGGATGACATGCCGATCGGGGGGGGGGGTTGTCAGAAACGTCGGAGAAAGAGCGAAAACCATGTCTGGAAAATAGACCCGTGTTTTTGGAGTAATAACCCCTATATATATACATATAGACTTACTGTGTTTTAAGAAAAGAAGGAAAAAACCCGAAAACCTAGACACCCTTGTCCGTCGCCCATGCCATGGAATAGCAGCGGCGTGTATGTAATAACCTACTCTGCTACTACATAGCGGCGTCCGTACACCACCCTCCTGAGCTGTTTGTTGCGCGATCCCACCGTCAAACCGCTCAGGAGGAGGGTCTTCTCGTCGCGCGAAGAGGTGAGAAGTACGGAGCGAGCAGGAGGAACGTACTAGATAGCGTCGTCCATACACCACCCTCCTGAAACTTTTT